CATACCTTTGCAATTTCTCTAAGGTTGTATTGTTGACATACTTCATATTCTGCAGGAAAGTGAAGAGTAGAATTTGTGGGGTAACTGCATTTTCGGAGGATGAGAATATATGCAGTTTACATATGTTGCATTGGCCAAGTAGCTATGTAAAGTAAGACAAATAGGACTTATAGAATACGATCATGTTCTTCTTCTGGTGGTTATATCAAAAGGCAAATCTGCAAATTCATAATGGTAATTTGTAGCCGATGGAATTGGTGTAAGATCTCTTTAGGACGCATCTAAGCTCTTACTGCAAAATTGTGGTTGGTCTTTGCGCACATCTAGCCCTCTTTGAAGCGCGTTCACCAAGAGTTTATGCTTCTTTACATTTTATGTAACCACATTTGATTGTAAACGGAATATAAGAAAGAAAAACTAAGTTTTGAAACAATGTTAGTCTTAAACAATCCTTAAGAAAGAAAAATGAACTATTGAAACATTGTAGTGTAGTCTTGAATAAGCCTTAAAAACAAAGAAAAGCTAACTTTTGAAATATCATAGCTTTAAATAATCCACGTAACATTTTTGTGGCTATAAAATCTTAAAATTAAAAAGTTCAAATTACAGTTATTTTTGAATCTACAACGATATCATTCTTTTTTTAACAGACTTAAAAAGGAAAAAGCATCATATAAAATGAAACAAATTGAGGAAAGTATTGTGAAACTCTGCACCCTTGCATATTGCATTAAGTTGATTTTAGAGGTGATAACTTGTTAGTATTAAATAACATTTTCCCATATATGGGAAAATGGCAAAATTATCCTCATACTCTATGATAAATAGTTCATATCTACCATCAAAGGATGTGGTGCAGTGGATGGGACTGCTCCTCCCTTAACCAGAGGTCTCGAGTTCGAGCCCTGGGTATGAAAAAATCCTTGGTAGGGAGCGTCCCCCCCCCCCTCCCGAATGGGGCCCTACGCGGCATGAATCCGAATATAGTCGGGCTCCAATACGGGTACCGGACACCTGGTGGGAAACCAAAAAAAAAAATAGTTCATATCTATTCTCCATTATACTTTCCATCCAAATTTAACCCCACTGTTAGGATAGTAAACAAATTTGCCCCAAGCCCTAATGTATGCCCATCAGAGCATTGGGACCCCTCAGTTAAAAATGCCACATAATTAACCTCAGCGCCCCCAATACCTGTCTTCCCCTTCGTTCTTCTTCCACCAGCAGCTCCACCACCCAAAAGCCTCAATTTTTCACCACAACAAAAGAGCTTCAAAACCAGAATTAATCAATAATTTTCACCCCCAACAGTATAACCAAGTAACTTAGATGGTTAAATAATATATTTGAGCACATTGCAATATTTTATTTAACTTGTTAAAATTTGAACTAAATTGCATTTCTAGGAAAAGCTATCCATGATCTCATAACATTATCCAGCAGAATTGCATGCAATTTCACAACATTTAGATTGGGACACAACATGATGCTTAGACTACGGAAAACAGAACCATAATTTAAGCAATTAATTCAAGTAGTGATTCACTACTCTACATCACTTACTTTCGACCAACATAATAATTGTTTTTTGATGAACTAGACTAACATTACAACTTAGTAGTACTTTGTCTCCCTATTTACTCAAATTTCATTTTCAGCCTATACAAAGGATGGTGAGAGTAAAAAGTCCGGCAGTGATCTCTTTAAAGGAATCCCACAAAAGGGACACCAAGGTTTTGGATGTTCATCCTCAGTGGTAGACTTACTGAAAGACTTGAAATCTGAAGGATATCCCGGCATTTTGAAAAAGGATGCAGGGGCTAATGTTGAAGCCCATCTCTGACAGTACATGCAATGCCATACAGGTTCAATTGGGCAGATACGCATAGAAACACAACATCGGAATAATTTATGGCTCCGACCATTTCCGGTATCGCACTTCACCCCGTGCAGACGGCGAAATCTGGAGAGTCAAATGGAACTGATGCTGAGCAGAAACAACATTCCTCCTCCTCTACATATTCATAGATGGAGGGAACTTGACTGCAAAAATAAGAGACATAGTGAGTCAGAATCAGCAATATCCACATCAACATATTACATATATTTGTCACAGTCAACTTGAATGCTAATCGGCAATAGCTACAGAATAAACGATCAGTCTAAAGAAACAATTACTAACACACATTAAATTCAAAGTTTCATCATTAACAACGTAGAGGTTTTGGTTGCATCAATGCGTTTTTTTTATGCTGGCAATGTGATATTAAACCCTTGATCAACTGGTTAAGATGGAATGCAAACAATGAGTAGATAAAAATGCATATTTCTTATCCATTCCTTCAAACCAATCAATGCTTGTATCTGGTTAAGAACTAGAGAAAATGAGCACCAATTGTAGAATACAAAATGTTATTCTATTCCACACCAAAAAAATAATTAAATTAGACGTAGCTAATAGTTCAAAAATGTAACATCACAACGTGAAAATATGAAGACAATGCAAATGGCATAGATCATGCGTAAGAGAAGTCAGGCAGGCATGTGCAGGGACTACCTCTTATCAACGGTTCGTACTTCTTCTCCAAGAAGTTCCAGTTGATCCTTTACATCTTCACCACAAATTGCAACCCACCGCTCCATCTGTGCTGTTCCAACAGGGACCTGATCACGCCCAATATACCTTATAAAAAGGACACGTGGACGTTGCAAATATAATCTGAGTATTTAGCTCAGAGTCGAACCCACAAGGAATTAACCTATCAATTACTCTCGTTTCATCTCTATCAATCATGAGCACTATTATTACCGTAAATATCTCCCGAGCAATCACAATAATTTACTAGACGCACTCTCCCGAGATACGCTAGCTGACTTTAGTTACAGCTCACTTTAGATTACACCCAAGGCTTCGTTATCCCTAATCCCGCCTTTAAACCCTCGGTTATTGATCCCTCATATACTTTGGGAGTGGTGTTGTTCAACAATTGACCTAAATATGCACTCTCTCCCGAGTTATGCACACTAAATAGGCACAGCTAATTGAGGATCCTGTCAATTAACTACAATAAGAACGTAGTTGAACAAATAGAGACTAAACCGGGCAAACTATATTAACATAACAAGAATTTCATCATTCAATAGGTTCCATCAAAACCTTAGACTAAATATTTAGCTACTCATACTAGTGTTCATCACAACAATATTCAAAGTCATCACAAATCGTAAAAACAAAAGGAAGAAAGGAAGAACTCGATGTTGAATTATCCTCCTTGCCTCTTGCCTCTCCTTTGCCTTGAACTAAGTTATGAAAACCTTGATAATGAATCTTTGGGCGAGCTGGACCCTCTATAGGTTAAGTGGATTTACCCCCGAACTTCCAAGTTTACCCCTGAAATATACTTTTCCGGAATTGAGCTAGCGCGGTCGCGCTAATGAGCGCGCTAGTGACCGCGCATATGCCCTATCATTCTGCCTCGACTAACTGGGCTAGCGCGGTCGCGCTAATGGCCGCGCTAGTCCAGGTCTCCATTTTAGCTCTTCTTTCTCTCGTCTTCCCACGTACTCAGCTTCTAGGGGCTTTTCTTGCTTCATTTTAGCTCCGATTACCGTCTTAAGTCCTCATTCATGCCAATGACTCCTGCAACGTGTGAAATTCACAATTAGAGCCAATTTATCATCATTTAACTATATTATAACAGTGAAACATGATCAAGCTGGGGCATAAACAATCACCAAATTACATAAATCTAGCCTATCATCAACCCAATAACTAGATTTACTACCCTTTCCATCAGAACCAGAGGCGTCATCAAGAAAGACAGTAAAGCTATAGCCAACCAGCCTATCTCTCAGTTCCATCTCACTATTCGAGTGAAGCTGTGTCCAATCCAATCTTTCATCTTCAGCACTGTTGAAGCCCTCTAAAAACTGCGATTGCCCATCAACTTTATCTGTCTCCACCTTTTTCAAGACTACCAGCTTGCTGATGATGTTGAGGAGTTGCAACTTACGTGAGGAGATCTCCGAGAGACATTTAATTGCTTCAGACAAGTTTGCAGAAACTCCAAACTGAGATCCAACAGAAGATTTCAACCATTTAATTATGATATGTTTCGCAAATATAGAAATAGACTGCTTAAAGGCCAAGAGTGCTGCTACAACATCCCAAACAACCAGTGGTTTATCCAAAGGTTCATGCTGATTTAATGACCATAGTATATTATTCTCCCAACTAAGTAGAGGAAATGTCCAGTTGCTGTCCTCCAATCCAAAGAAATTCTACTGCAGCTTTCAGGGCCCTGGAGGTTTTGAGCAAAGTGATGTTAGTTTCTAAAGCATTGCCGCTAGTTTATCATCTCTTTTTCCAAAATAGATTAGATGAGGCAGTTGTCAGATTATTTCTGGTCTTACGAATCCATAAAGGATGTAAGTCCTATTTTACAGAAGACAACAAATCAATAATCAACCAAGTATAGACATCCTTCCTTTGTTCAGGTAGATAGATTTGTGTATACTTTCAATTGCAAGATAGATCTATGTGTACTGGAAAGCAGCAGTTTCATGTAGCAGGTGAAGAAAACCTGTGTAGGAAAACTCATTGAGAAATATATTGGTATAGCTTTTACTCAAACCTATTTTTCCCTCACAAAAGATGAGGAAATGAACGAGGAAAATGAATAGAAAACTAAAAAAAAAAAAGATACTAGGAGTTGAAAAAAGAATCTGCCAAAACCTTCTTTTGTAAAAAGTATTATCAAGAGTAAGGACAAGCTTTTATTAGCCGATGATAAATCTGTGGCCTGTGAAATATATACCTAGATCCTGGTGAAAGTTGGCATCTACAAATAGGTAACAACAAACAGCCTAAAAGGGGAAATTAAATACCTTGCCTCATACATTTGATTTAGTTGCTCAGTAGCAAAAGCTCTTACCTGCACGTGTGTGTAATTTTTGTTGGTAGTATTAAAACAGAACATAAATGCATCCGGCACCTGAAAAGAATTTTTTATTTTAAAGGAAACAGCATGTGATAGAGATGCATGAAACCAAGATACATGTGCGTACATCGCCAGAGCCTTTCACACCAGTAGTATTGGAAGGGATAGGTACTTCACACAGGGAATTTTCATGTAAAATCCAACAGCGGGTTGAGTTGTCCTGCAATTATTCAGGAAGAAAGTTTATCTACCATTAAAATATGCTCAAAATGTAAGAACTTCCATGTAGAATCTCACTTAGGGATTTGGGGACGGAATTTGGGAAAATTCTTTTATGCTACATTACTTTTACAGTCATCATAGAGAGAGAGAGACAGCCGAAGACTGCTCTCCATTCAGTGATAACACTACTCAAAGAATGGAAACGTTGCGGTTTAAATGTCTTTGAAGAGAATCACAAAACAGACATAAAATAGTCTGAAGCGAAACACCAAATAACAAAGTAGCTTACCTGGCTGCAGCTGTATAGGCAACGTCCACCAAAAGCCCAAGCTAAACCTGTAACCTAGAACGCATTAACACAAGTTAATGTCTCCAGATGATAAAGAGGTAAAGATTTGAGTATCAACAAAAACTTACTACATGATTATGAGCATCACAGGAGCCAGCTTTCTCAAATCTACGAACAAGAATGTCACAACTCCACACTTCAATTGATCCTGATCCGTTGCCAATGGCTAAGAGCATTTTATTAGGTGATTGCGCAGATACACTGAAGGAAACCACAGAGGCCATTGCAAAGTCGGCGGCTTTTACCTGTATAAGAGACAACAAGAAACAGATAATGAGAAAGAAAAAGTAAAAGAAGAATAACAAAAGAAAGATCTACGTTAAAAGGAGACCTCCTTCAATAGAGAAAAGGGTGAATCACTAAGTTCTGATGATTCTTCACACTACAAAATGTAAATTAAAGAAGAATAAATCTTTGAAGCTATTAACTCGTGCAATATAATGCAGGCCATTGCATTAATTTGACGCCAACATCAACATGTATAGGCATCTTCTGTAAGGTTGTTTTTTCAGGATGTTATCCAAAACTTCTATTCTTGAAAGCTTCCATTCTACTGGTTCTGTTACCATTTAATTACTACAAATCTTACCTTATAAAAAAAAAACTACATTTCTTCCTGTAATTTAGGGCCCATAATTAACAAGGCTGTTTAGCATTATAATATAGAACGGCACTAACGCATATCTCTTCCTGAAAACTTTGATATGACCATTCTAGGCCTCTTGCTTAAACAATTGATTACTTCATTTCTTCCTTGGCAATTAAACGTTAAAAACTAATAACGTTCTTTAGCTTTACTAAGAGGATGGTCACAAGCACATATTTCTTATTTAATGCTGTCATTCAACTGTTTTCCCCTCTGACTTTACCATCTGATTACTTTATTCTGTCCTCATTGTCATTGGCAATAATAACGCAAAATCATTCCATCATCTAGAAGCTAAGTGCTCTAAATTATTTTGGATTTTCCTGTCGTGCTTTGTTAATGTCGTTCGCTACTGTGTTAAAACACAAAATCAGAAAACTGTTAGAAGAATAAAAGAAACTGGAAAACAATAAAGAATAAGAAATATTCCGAGTCCACAATTTGCTTGTGCGTCCTTAAGGAATTTTAACCTCCTCACACGTTGCCAAGGTAATGGATTAAATCCTCCCAGGATGAAACGGAATAAACCTTCCTGCAACAGTGGCAATACAAACTGCAGGATACCAACGAACGCAAAGAACGGAGCAAAATCACACTTACGAATTTGAGAGAGAGAGACTGCGAATTAGAATGCAGTATTTTCAGAAAGAAGGAAGTTCTGTAATGTTTTTGGTGTGTTAAAAACGAAGCCATGCCTCAGAATTTATAGGCAATTATTGGAAGAGGTGTGATGTTTGTTCTGGAAAAGGTGTCTGTTCAGAAGTTTACGTGTCCTGCCGCGGTTACGCCAGGACCGCGGCCAAACTAGCTTTCTGAATCTGCAGCAGTGTTCTGGCGCGGTCCTACTGCGGTTACGCCAGGACCGCGGCCAGACTATCCTTCTGAATCTTCAGCAGTGATCTGGCATTTAATTAATTATTAAATAATTAATTAAATAAATTTTGTCCAAAAATAATCTTATCGATCATTTTCCAAATCCAAATCCAAATCCAAATCCAAAGCCGAAGCCGAGCCGAGCGAGCGACGACAACGGCGTGAGGGTTCATTCTCTTCAACTCCTTTTAAGAGCTTTAAGAAGTGATTCTATATATAAGCACACAAATGTAGTTGTCCCTCACCAATGAGGGACAAAGTGCAAGTCAAAAGCTCACTTCATTCAAATTTTCATTTCCCACCATTTCCAATTCACACTGTTAGATTTTAAAGCCCAATGCTTAAAGTCTTTGAAGCCCAATGCCTTTAAAGTCCAACAATCCCCCACATGAATGGGAATGGCTGTAACAAGAATGATCATAGATGAAAGCTGTGTGATTTGCAAGTAAGGATTAATTGCATCTGGATAAGTAGGTTTCCCTTTGAACTTTCCGTAGTGAACATATGTCGGATATACTCAGTCAATCGGTAGATTTGATATCTTTGAACCGTCGAACTTTAGTGTATAGCTAGACAACTATATGTCACACAACCAACCCTTAACCGTCTTTTGGTTCTCATTGTTGTGTTCGTTTCAGCCATGAACACCGCCAGGTTTCATAAGTGCGTAGAGAATTGGCCTTACAGAATTCTCATTAAAGCGGCTTCCACTTCACACTTACATAAGTGATTCCTAAACGTGTAATCCTTTAGATTGACACTATTTGATAACTACCACATCAAACTTAGGTAATCATTAAAGAACGTGTAAAGTTCTATCCTTATTACTGAACATTGTCTTCATCACGAGAAGGGACCAAAGATTTTACTTTGACAATGTTGAACCGGTCAATCACAACTTTGTTTGAGCTCCTTGAACCTAGATCTCGGAACATCCAAAATTCTAGGTAGAGTTACCGCCATGTTGACTTGTCCTCGACCATAGTCCCATTACCTTAGATGATTTCTCAACTCCCTCTCTAGTTATGCCTTTTGTAAGCGGATCCGCCACTTTATCCTTTGATCTTACATAATCAATAGTGATAATTCCACTAGAAAGTAGTTGTCTAACGGTGTTATGTCTTCGTCGTATATGACGAGACTTTCCGTTATACATAACGCTCCCTGCCCGTCCTATTGCAGCCTCACTATCGTAATGTATGCAAATAGGAGCCAAAGGTTTTGGCCAGAACGGAATGTCTTCTAAAAAATTTCGAAGCCATTCAGCTTCTTCACCAACTTTATCCAAAGCTATAAACTCTGATTCCATTGTAGAGCGAGCGATGCACGTTTGTTTGGAAGACTTCCAAGATACTGCTCCTCCACCAACAGTAAAAACATATCCACTTGTGGACTTTGTTTCTGTTGAGCTGGTTATCCAATTTGCAGCATTATATCCTTCGATAACCGCAGGATATTTATTGTAGTGCAAAGCGTAGTCTTGGGTATATTCCAAATATCCCAAAACTCATTTCATTGCCACCCAGTGATGTTTGTTTGGATTACTTGTGAATCGACTAAGTTTACTTACCGCACAAGCTATATCAGGTCGTGTACAGTTCATGATGTACATTAAGCTTCCCAACACACGAGCATACTCCAATTGAGACGTACCTTCACCTTTATTCTTTATAAGATGATGATTTAAGTCAATTGGAGTTCTTGCACTTCTAAATTCCAAATGTTTGAATTTTTCAAGTACCATTTTCACGTAATGTGATTGAGACAAAGCTAGACCCTGAGGAGTCTTCTGGATTTTAATTCCTAGAATTACATCGGCAACTCCTAAGTCTTTCATATCAAACTTACTAGCAAGCATGCGCTTAGTAGCTTGAATGTCGGCAATATCTTTGCTCATTATTAGCATATCATCAACATATAAGCAAACAATGACTATATGATTTGGAACGTTCTTAATGTAAACACATTTATCACATTCTTAATCTTAAAGCCATTTGACAACATTGTTTGGTCAAATTTCGCATGCCATTGCTTGGGTGCTTGTTTTAGTCCATAAAGAGACTTAATAAGTCGACACACCTTCTTTTCTTTTCCCGTAACCACAAACCCTTCAGGTTGGTCCATGTAAATTTCTTCCTCTAAATCACCATTTAAGAAGGCTGTTTTTACATCCATTTGATGGATTTGAAGATCATACAAGGCGGCTAACGCTATTAGCATCCAAATGGATGTAATTCTTGTTACCGACGAGTATGTGTCAAAATAGTCAAGACCTTCTCGCTGTCTAAATCCTTTGACAACAACTCTTGCCTTGTATTTGTCAATAGTACCATCGTCTTTCATTTTCTTCTTGAAAATCCATTTAGAACCCAATGTTTTGTTACCTGGAGGAAGATCAACCAATTCCCAGGTATGGTTGCTCAATATGGATTCTATTTCACTATTGACAGCTTCTTTCCAATATTGTGCTTCTGAGGAAGACATTGCTTCCTTGAAGGTACGAGGCTCATTTTCTAGCAGGAAAGTCAGAAAATCTGGACCGAATGAAGTAGATGTCCGTTGACGTTTACTTCTTCTCGGATTTTCCTCATTAGGCATACCATCTGTTATTTCCTCCCGAGGTCGTTTTGACTTTTGGTAGGTCACTTCACTTTCCTTTTTATACGGATAAACAGTTTCAAAGAATTCAGCATTATCTGATTCTATTATCGTATTAACGTGAATCTCAGGATTTTCTGACTTATGAACCAGAAAACGATATGCCTTGCTATTGGTTACATATCCAATAAATACACAATCAACCGTTTTTGGACCTATCTTAACCCTTTTAGGTTTAGGAACTTGTACCTTAGCTAAACACCCCCACACTTTGAAGTATTTCAAGCTGGGCTTCCTTCCTTTCCATTTCATAGGGAATGGACTGTGTTTTACTATGAGGTACACGGTTGATTATTCGGTTAGCTGTAAGTATAGCTCCCCCCCCCCTCCCCCCCACGCATTCATCATCTCTTTCAACGTTCGATTCTTTCTCTCCGCAATTCCATTAGATTGTGGAGAGTAAGGGGCAGTTGTTTGGTGAATAATGCCATTTTCCAAACATACGTTTTCAAAAGGAGATTCATATTCGCCACCCCTATCACTTCTTATCATTTTGATCTTTTTGTTTAGTTTGTGTTTCAACTTCACTCTTGTATTGCTTGAAAGCATCAATTGCCTCATCTTTACTATTAAGTAAATAAACATAGCAATATCTCGTGCTATCGTCAATAAAAGTAATAAAATACTTTTTCCCACCGCGAGATGGTGTTGATTTCATGTCACAAATATCTGTGTGAATTAAGTCTAAAGGACTTGAATTCCTTTCAACGGACTTATAAGGATGCTTAGCATACTTTGATTCCACACATATTTGACATTTGGAATTAATGCAATCAAATTTTGGCAATACTTCTAAATTTATCATTTTTCGCAATGTTTTGAAGTTGACGTGACCTAAGCGTGAATGCCATAAAGTGTTTGACTCAAGTAAGTAAGAAGAAGCATTAACTTTATTGATAGGAACTGCTATTACATTTAGCTTAAAAAGGCCCTCATTCAGGTAACCTTTTCCTACATACACATCATTCTTACTTAGTACAACACTATTAGAAACAAAAATACATTTGAATCCATTCATGACAAGAAGTGAGGTAGACACAAGATTCTTGCGAATTTCTGGAACATGGA